AATATTACTCGAAACCTCTTCAAATTAGAAGCAAAGGTGCAAAAATCACATGTGTATTTAAGCTTATCTTCACTGTAATGACCAGCAATTACGTTCGCGCATTAAATGCAATTTAAACACCTGCAATACTTGGATTATATCGTAGTTTGTTTCACAATTTTATGAGCCAGACAAGGTCTTCTCAATCAGAAAATTACCCATACTCATTCTTTGGGGAGTCGTAGGTCTGTAGAAAGAGATGAGCTGTAAGCTAACTCACTAATGCTCCTGGGACCATGTTCATGTGTAGCAATGGTTTGTCGTCAATGAGCCAACTTGCTGGATCACTGAAATCGGCGATTTAAATTCAGATGAAAATTATCACTAGTTACGTCACTTCGGATACTACCTGAATCCAGCAAAGTCCGAATCGGTTTGGAAGAACACATCTATAAAAATTCTTTTTTTTTTGCGTTTATGTCTAATCGATAGGTACAAAAATTGATGTTGTGATTCTGCCTAGAAATCCATTATCGGATGCTGAACAGAGAAGTTCTATTTGTTGCCTATATACTGATTTCGCTTACTTTCAGGACTCTTCCTGTGGTTGCACTGCCAACGACTCTTCTCGCCAAGGACTGCGTCGTCGGAGAAGATGATGGCCCCAACCTGGGGAAGGATCATAGACGACACCTAAAAATTGGTATCTGACGCGCGAGGATCAGTATTTTGAAAATTTTCTAAATCCAATGGTAAAAGAAAATTAGCTCAAAAGAAGAACCTGAATGCTTTCATCGATGAAAGTGACGGTCTTTTTGTTCTCTTCAAATATTATTTTGTCACCTGAAATGCTCTACATATACACGTGCTGCTGGTATATTGGAATATCGCACTTGGAAGTTCGGGAGGCCTTTGCTTTTACAGGCCATTTACTGAATACTTAGCTTTGCGAATGTCCTTATTTAGAGAAGTAAAACATGCCTTGTCATTGTTAAGGTTTAATCAATAGTGGAAATCTTTTTTCTAATTATGCATGTAATGCCATTGATACATTTAAGAGGCCAATTCGTTGTGTTCAGTGACCAACTTGAGATTGTGATTCTCAGCTGTGGAATAAGTGCAAAAACCTTCATTACCGAACGTCACTCATGCCCGGACAAAGGTTTTTT